GCATCACTCTGCACCTCGCACGCCCGCGCCCCGCCGTTTGCTGCCCCCCAACCTCCTAAACCTGGGTTCCTTTCGTCCGCCTGTCCTGGCCCCACTTGAGAATCGGCCCTGACGCGATTCAAACGCGCCCCTGCCGCCCGCAGGTGACGTCATACGTCCACGGCGCTGCTGAGCTGCTGGGCATTCAGATCGACGCGGCCATTAACAGCGGCAACAGCGGCGGCCCGGCCTTTGACGCGGCGGGGCGCTGCGTGGGCATCGCGTTCCAGAGCCTGAAGCACGAGGATGCGGAGAACATCGGGTATATCATACCCGTGCCCGTCATACAGCGTGAGCGGCGGGAATGCTGCCGTCACGGTCGGGGCGGGCCAGCCTAGTTTGACACCCTGCCCCCCCCCCACACACACATACACACCAAAACCCCACCCACTCCACCCAATCCCAACCTCAACACCCAGCAGTCTCAAACTCACTGTCAACCCCACACACAACTCACACACACGTACACTTTCTGACACGCGCACACAAGCACACACACACAAACACACACACACACACACACACACACACGTACACACACAATCACACACAAATCACAACACTCACACGACCCTGCAACATCTTCACTCACCCGCAGACTTCATAACGGACTACGAGCGCAATGGGGCCTACACCGGCTTCCCCTGCCTAGGCACAGAGTGGCAGCGCATGGAGAACCCTGACCTCCGCAAGGCTCTGCTCATGAAGGCACGCAGCCCCACTCATATGGGGCTTCTGTTAGTGTGTGGGTTGAGATGCGGCAGTGGCGGTTGGATTCGGGCGGGGCGAGGCTGCTGATGAGTGTCTTGCTGGCAGGGGGCAGACGGGCGCCGAGGAAGGGCAAGGGGTGTTTTGCACCTCCCACGCTGTAGAACGCGCAGCTGTCTAGCTTGCTGGGCGCCACAGTCGCCCTGGAATGCCGACCCCTGTCCATGGGCAGATCATACCACCCACAAATTCGTTCTCTTCTTCTTCCTCATGCACTCCCACAACTGCACACACACACACACACACACACACACACACAGCTAATCACAACAACGCACACGCTCCCGGACACGCCCCCGCAGCCGGACATGAAGGGCGTGCTGGTGCGGCGCGTGGACCCGACCGCCCCCGTGTCCAAGGTGCTGCGCCAGTTTGACATCCTCATGGCCTTTGACGGCGTCGCCATCGCCAACGACGGCACCGTGCCCTTCCGCAGCGGGGAGCGCATCTCATTCAGCTACCTCGTTAGCCAGGTGTGTGTGTGTGTGTGTGTGTGTGTGTGTGTGTGTGTGTGTGTTTTGGGGTTTTGGGTGCGGTGCGGTTCAGGGGTTGGGTTTATGGTGGTGGATTGTGCGCGTGTTCTTTTGCATGGGTGCTCGCTAGCTTTTGTGCGCGCCCATACTCAACGCACACAGCGCCGGTGTGTCTACTTGGGGGCCGCGCGCTTTGCTCGACTCACACACACACACACACACACACACACACACACACACACACACACCACAAACACATGCGTGCAAGCAGGCGTGGTCATCAATTGCATGCATACCTTATGTTGACTCTCATACTTCGGCTGCCTGCCCAGCATTCCCACATCCCTGCACCCACTGTACACCAAGTGGCCACCCTCTCTCCATTCTCACACATGCCCCCCCCCTTAATTGCAAAGCACCTACGCATGCCTCCAACACCCCCAACCCCGCACACCTGCGACACGCCCCTCGCCCCCGCAGAAGTACACGAACGAGAGCGCGACCCTCAAGGTGCTGCAGGGCGGCAAGGAGCGCACCGTGACGGTCAACCTGCAGGCCCCGGTGCGCCTCATCCCCTTCCACATCAAGGGCAAGCCGCCGTCCTACTTCATCGTGGCGGGGCTGGTGTTCACCGCGGTCAGCGTGCCCTACCTCAAGAGGTGGGCGTGAGTGTGTGAGGGGGGGGCTGGAGGGGCCAGGAGAGGGGTCAGCGCGGCGTGGAACACGGGGCTTGTGGAATGGTGCGCCTTATGTGTCACGAATGGCTTCACCTACCGCCCCGTCGATACGGCAAGGGTTAGTGATGGAAATATTCTTGTTGCGCTTGCTGGACACGCCAGACCGGCGGGCGGGCGTGCGCCGCACAGCCGCGCTACTCTATACAGTTAGACACCGTCCCATACGTGCACAATCAACGAAGCACCACCCCTTCGCACACGCAAAGCACCTTTGATCACAGACACACAAACACGCAGTCTCTCTCTCTCTCTCTCTCTCTCTCTCTCTCTCTCTCTCTCTCTCTCTTTCTCTCTCTCTCTGTGTATGTG